GGTGTGGAATAGTGTGGTGTGGCTAAAAAAATTAGAAAAACAATGGTACCAATACAGAGAATTGAGCTATGGAACCAGGATCCACCTGTGAAAGATGAAAGAAAACTGACAGGAATATAATTACAGGACAAATCTGGTCATAGGTGAACGGTGTTGGATGATTAATGGCAATGAAAGAAAAAAAGAGAAGAACAGCAGCTGAATGTGATCAGTCTCTTTACACTTACACAGAAAACAAAGCCATAACTGACCTTGACACAAACTACCAGAAGAGTCTAACAAATAAAACCTGACATGAAATTAAGATCAATTTAGAGAAAAGGGACTAAAAACAATCCAGAAAGCATGTATAAATCCCAAACCAGTATGAATGTGGAAAAACAAACGTATACAACAAAACCAACAACAGGCTAAGGAAAGACCAAAACACAAAATTCCTGAAGTTAAAAATTCAAATGAATGCATTCAATCATTGGCTTCTTCCAGTAGGATGAGTTTCCAGCTCAAACTGGTTTGCTAAGGATGATAATGAGATCCCTGCAATCAGATTATCTGAGCCTTTTATTGATGTGGAGCTGACGGATCTCCTCTATTATGTCCACATGGAATAAAACCTCTAAGAATGTTTTCAACAACTTGTTGTACCTATCCTGTGAAAAATACTATCGGGTTCCATCAAATGGCAAACAAACTGGTAAAGCATAAATAGAAAATCAGGGTACAATTGGAAATGGATAAACTTATCTGAAGCTACATATTTCTGCTGTTTTCAGGTGAACTAGTGAACTACACCTGCATTTTTGCTTTCTGGAGTATTTCAAGTCTAGATTGACAAATTTCTTCTGTGTGAACATGGCTAATTATTTATTTTGATCAAACCCCTCCTCCTGTGTTATATATTAATAATTAAGAAATATAAAACTGGGAAAAATAAAATCCAAAGAAAGGGAGCTTAAAAAACATAATTGGGTTAATGTGAAGAGTTAAAAAAAACACAGCAAACCTGGCTTCTATATCTATCATAATATTCTTACAAGCAAATGTAATGCAAGGCTCCATATGTCCGAGAAGCCTTGTATTAAGTATCCTGTGGAGGACGTTGGGGGGTTGGGTCTGCAAGCATTAAGTGGTTTGGTTAGTTGATTTCATAGTGTCTGAGTAACAGCCTACACGGGTAGTGTTGCAGACTAAAAGCAAGAAGGGACTGGTGGTGTGAGAAGACGATGAGAAGAGATTGACAGGCAGAGATGAGATGAGGTGAGGGGACACGAGGGAGGGAAGGTGTACTAGCTGACAACGGGTTAACAGGAATCTTTATTTTTAACAACATGTCATCACTAGCCGCCCATCTGCTCATGTGCTGTCACAGTCCCTTGGGAACATGAAGGGATGTGTGTGTGCATGTGTGTGTGTGTGTGTGTGTGTGAGGGATGAGAGAGGAAAAGATGTATGCAGTCCCATCACAGATCACATCAGCGATGAGCACCCAAATGAGGAGCAGGGGAGAGGACAAGGTTAGAGAGGTGGGTGGCACACAGATATCTGGCTCATCTAATATCCAAGGTGAGCTGCTGTGTGTCTGTGGCTTATTGAGATTAGTTGGGTCGATCTGTAGCTGCCCTCTCTGTGTTTAGATGGGGGTTGGAAAGGGGGTGGAGAAGGTGGATGAGAGGGAATCTGTTAGAATGGAGGAGGGAGAAGGGCTATGAGTACACATAAAGGGGGTAATGTGATGATGGAGTTCCAGGGGTGGCCCCAATAACTCATCTTATTTATTTCTGTCTGAATAAAATGAGTTCCTGCAGAAGGTGGGAGTGATTTCAGAGAGATATTTACCAGTGGAAGTAATCAGGGAGGGAGGACTAGCTCCAGGAAGGTCTGGGGGTGTTTGGGCACGTGCACATGCACGTCTGGCTAAATATGTGGCAGAAGTTATGAGGTGATTAAATACAAACAACAAACTGTTCTATAAACTTTTAAACATTTAGTCTGAATGAGAAATCCTCTACTTATCCCAGATTATATTTTATTGTATATCTGGATATTCAAATAGACTCAAGATAGTTATCAAATGATAAATAATAATAATACTGAAAGGAAGGATGCACAATGAAAAAAAAATAAAATAAAAGACTAATGGTACAATCACACCAAACAGCGCCGTCTGGTGGCTCCCTAGGGGGCCATGGCCTCCTCTTTTAAAACCTCTGTCTGCTCTTAGATAACCAAGGCCCTATGGCTCAAGTCTACATCAATACCCAGAACCAGAGGATGGAGCAGCATCATCAAGTATTTCTGCAAAACCATGTAGCCTGTAGCTCACATATCACCCCCACAAAAGAAAACAACAAAAAAGGCAAAGGGGGAATTTATCTGATTGATAATGTAGAGCAGACATCCCCAAAGTCAGTCCTCGAGGGCGGCTGTCTTGCAGGTTTTAGAGGTTTCTCTGCTCCAACACAGCTGATTTTAATTGAAAGCTGATTAATAGGCTGTTGCTTAACTTGAGTCATCATAATCAGCTGTGCTAAAGCAGGGAAACCTCTAAAACCTGCAGGACAGCGGCCATCGAGGACCGACTTTGGGGATGCCTGATGTAGAGGAAAGCAAAATGCTTTACATTACTTAGAAGACATATGATAAAAATGTTAATATTTTCTCATCTTGTCCAGCTGACCTCCAACAGTTACTATGCACCTAAGGTGGAAAATTTCCAACCCCAAAAATCCCTCTCCAGTTGTCCTATTTTACGATGCCAATCCAAATTCATACAGGTCAAACCCCTGTTTGTGAACACACTGCAAGAACAAAAGTCCTTCCCAGATGACATGCGGAGAACAAGTAGAGAAAACCCCAAAGACATGGCTGAAAGAGCAAAATGTTGTTGTTTTGTTGTTCATGCTGTGGGAATAAGAAACATTTTGCTCTATTCTTGTGGAGTATAGCTATGATTTCAGATAGATACCATGCAGGATCGCACAGAATATGACTCAGGTTTAAGTTTGTAAATAGCTGATCTAAGGTTCTTTACCATACTGCCAAATCAGAAGCCAACTTTTTCATTGTGTTGTTTCATGATTTGTGAAGGGCAAGATAAACACAATTCAGCCAGACCAATATTTTTTATTCAAAAGTCTATAACTTAAGCAATTTAAAAATGCAGGCTTTCAGTTTAGTTTGGTCTGAGTTCAGGCTTTAATGAATTGTATTGATTATTATTTTTTTCTTTTTTTCTTTTTTTTTATCTGTTGCATTTTTCCTTGTGTTTCCATGAGCATATATATGATGGTCGCTTATATTGTTCTTAGTTCCCTTGTGGTATTTCCAGCCATTTGTTCTGAGCCTCAGTTCATGTTCCATCATTTTTTTTCATTACATCCACCTGTTCCTTTCTCTTTTAACCATTGCTCCAAGTTAAAGCTCTTGGATTTGATCTACTCTTCCATGTTTTATCCTTTTGTTCCCCTCATCTATCCTATCTATTGCTATCAAAATGGGGTCTTAACTCCCCTCACATGAAATTATTTTCTCTGCAGACTTAAATCATTGTCTAACATCTGTTCTTTACATAATTATCCTACATCCTGCTCTTGTCTTGGTCCTGCAACACTAGCTGTGTTTCCAGTGACCATTAAATTGTGCAAATTGTAATTCCCAAAATGATGTGGTTAATGGAAATGTGGCAATTAAAAAAAAAAAAAGAAGAAGAAAGCGTATGTGTTTTGATGAAAGCTTTTTGCACTACGATGAGGTGGCTTTCTGACCGTATTGAAAATTGAAAATTTCGTAAAACTGCAATATTAACAGCTTCTTTTGCCTTACAAAAGTCAAAACAAGCAGAAATTACTAGTGGCAGAAAGACAAGGATTACAGCAGGAAATAGTAGGAGATAATGAGTTACAGTATCGTAAGAAGAAACTTATTCAATTCAACTCAATACTTTATTAATCCCAAAGGGAAATTGAATCATGTGATTATAATAGCATTTCTTTATTATAGAGAATGTTAGTTATTTTGACATAAGCAGAATATGTATGAACAAAGTATGGTGCAAATTTGTAACGGAAACACAGCTACTGTTGCCTTTGTATTCCAATACAAATTACATCACTCCATTCGTAATTATCAACTAAATGTGTTTGGCACACATTTCCAGAGAAATCCTTAGCCAGCATTAGCCTTATGTCTGGGCTGAATCTGCAGCTCAAACTGATTACTGAAATCTTTCCTCCCACAGTCTCTCTTCCATTCCCTCATCCTACAGGCAGGGAACCTTCTAATGCTAATTAGTCCAGAGAAACTACCGTAGTCTTATTGAGAAGTCCACTTCAAGCCACACACTTTCTTAACCATCTCAGCCTCACAGGACATATGCAGTTAAAGCTGTAATGAAGTTACGAGAGTTTTGAGAGCACTGTTTTATATTTTATTAATGATGCACACACACATATAAAAAGTTAGTAAGCTTAAATAAAGTGTAAAAGACAACAATTTTATTTTGTTTGGGGTTAATAGTTTAAGATACTTTGCATCATGCTCCGAAAGACTTAAGGAAATGACTGGCAGCCAAGATTTTTTTGGCAGCGTTAAAATGTTCCTATCTCCATCTCTTTCTTGCATTCATCCCCTTCCTTTTTTCCTTTCTTTACAACCACCATCTCCCTCACTCTCTGTTCACAGTGTTTCCTCATTTCTGATCCATTTTTTATGCATTACTCCATTACTCTCACTCCCGTTTACAGTGCATTACCTCCTCCCATCTTTCACAAACACACTTTCTCTCTTCTTTTTGTCCTTCTCATTGTTCCCTCGCCTTCCTCTGATGTACCATAACACTTTTCATTGTTTCTCTGCATAACCTTCTTTTTTAATCTGTTTATTTTCTCTGGTCACATCACCTCACACCAAGGATTTCTCCAACATATATCTTCATCTTCCATCTAGCTTTGCATGTCTTTTTGTGCAGCCGCCCCTCCTTGTAATTGGTTATTCAAAGCGTGCCGTGTTCATTTGGTTTCATTGGTACCCATTGTCTTCTCTCTTTTACAACACAATTGTGCAAATGTCAGCAAAATCAATTAGCAGTAAATGTAATTGGCAGAGAAGGAATGTTTGGGAATTTAGGGCATACATGCCATGAGCAGACAGCAAATAATGTTTTTGTGATGAATCACCATATGACAAGCAGAGAAAGGGATAAGTGAGCATTGTTTGTGGAGATCCCGTTGTTTCTAGCTGTAATGATGCAAGTTCAAAAGCGATGCAGGAGTTCGTGTTTGACTGTAGGACACAGCAGGTGGGACCCCATTTTCATAGCTGTGGACAAGATATAAAAGAAATATCATCATTGTGAATTGTACCTTAAATAATAAAAACAAATATTTTATTTTTTAGCCAAACATCTGGAGTAGAGAGGATATTATTGGAACTACTGTAATAACATTTTGCTAGAGTTTTCAAGAGAATTTAAAGAAAGTCCGATATATAAGTAAATAAATTACTGCAAAATTACCTCTCAGATTTCAAATGGCTATTTACTCCTGCCCAACTTTGGCTTTGTTCTACTTAATCTATGGACAGAAGGGGCGTCGGATGTAGAAGTTTGCCCTGAAATGGAAAGGTTGATGGTTCAAGACCCGGCTCTGGCTTCCAGTGTCGTGGTGTCCTTTGGCAAGCCACTTTCCTCCTATTACCCACTGATGGTGCTCACAGGGCCAGTGTGCAGCAGCCTAGCTGCTGTCCGTGAGCCCCAGTGCTGCTGTGGTTTGCCATCATCAGTGTGTGAGTGAATGGGTGAATGACTGAATCTAGTGTAAAGCACTTTGGTCAAGTCTTCTGGCTTAAAAAAGTGCTATATAAGTACAGTCCATTAACCATTAGTCATCAAAACATTGACAAGCTCACCTAATGTATCACAAAATAAAAAAATCTTTTAGTGCTATTGTGTAGCCTCCTTCACACACCCTAAATTATGTAAGATGTGTTTCAAGAGACTAAACAAGAGACTGACCACTAGCAACGGGTCAGTCTTCTTTTCTGTGGCTACAACATTTATACAAATGTTCACAGACTGTAAAATGTTACAGTTAATTGACTGGTTTTACACCTTACTTACGGGAAACCAGGTTCTCTTACAGGTTCTCTTACTCGGTAAAGAAAAAGAAAATGTTTTTTTTCTTTAATTGATGCCGATACAGTCCCTTTCTATTTCTGCCCGGGTAACTGCCAATACATTCTAAAAAACTGCCACTGCCATCCTATCATATCCATTGCCATTTCTCCATTACCTAATTTTATTTCATACCAGTAACAAATGCCTACACATCATTTTTGCACATCAGATCATTCATTTCTGCATTTCAGTATTTTAATAAATTATAAATTGATAAGACCAAGAATTAGATTCTACAATGATGTTGTCGAGACATTGACGACATTTCCAAAACTGTACTGTCTCTGTCCACAGTCACCCCTCACAATAAAGACCAGCTTGCATTTCTTATAAGGATGAATTTAAGAGAGAAAATGACAAGAGTTAACTGACCAAAATTAGTGTGTTTTTGTCATTTTCCAAAACAGGGTCTAAAAAAGCAGTTACTAACACATGAAATGATAAAACCAAGTCTCAGAACGATCCACCAGACAAGATGTCCACTCTCTCACAGTTACCCTCTTGTTGTTGTTGCGATCACAAGACCTGCAAGCACAAAAGATGATGATGACTTCATAATATTGCACTTTCGACTAATTTCAGCAATGCAAATGTATTTGAAACACAGATACCCAAATTTGCATGATTTTGCAGATGTGGGAAACACAGTTGTCATTGCCTTAGATTTCGCTGTTATCTCTGAAGGGTACTCCTTCAATTTGTGTTAATCCATGAGCAGCAGGGGACACAATGGGTAATAAACATTATCATTGCTGGGAATAGCTTGACATTGACTCAGACAGCCCCACTGCCACAAAAAACTGTCACTGAAGACTGGCATAGAGAGCTGGGAGTGGGGGAGGATAGACGAGTGGATTGTAGGGAAAAATAGCGCATGGCAAGATGACAGAAGATAAAATGAAGGGCAGATTGACATAGGAAGAGAATAAATGTGTGCGTTAAAAGGGAAACAGGTTAGATGGGGAAATGGGGAGAGGAAATGTTAAAGAAAGAGAAAGCTAATGGAGAAAATATGTGGTTATATGGAATCAGCAGGGTGGACAAGATAGGAAACAAAAATAGGATGGATGGATGGATGGATGGATGGATGGATGGATGGATGGATGGATGGATGGATGGATGGATGGATGGAT